GACTATTTTGATAGCAAAGATTTCTGGGGGAAATTAAGAATATTTTTAATTGAAATTTGCATATGCATTGAGATTCCTCCACTGACCTTGGTATGTATGTGCAGCACAATTAAAAAGACCAAGGGATTGTAAAACTGTTACTCCTGGTTCAAGCTGACTAATGCAAGCTGATGTTTTTACCACCTTTCCCAGAACATCTCTTGGTGGAGTATCTGTGGCACAAAGGGGACATCTTCTTAACCGCCCCCTGCAGCTGCCTTTATAGTGGGGCAAAGCCACGGGGAGTAGCTGGCTGTCTCTGCCTCCTTTGATAGCCCTTTAATGGCTCTCTGTATATTTGCCCCCGTCATGCCAGTACCATGGCGCAGTTACTGCTGTTTTGCTCGCGAAACTCCTGCATCTGGGTAGCTACTGGCAGCGTGTTGGCACTCTGCTGCCAGCTCCGCATGTTTAAAGAAAAAGAGTCGTGCTCCAAAAGAATGACGGTCTCTGTGTTTACATCACTGAACCGCAAAAAATAGCGGTTTGGATTTCCAAGTTGGTAAAACCTAAAAAATAAAAAATAAAAACCCTAAAACTACAACAAAAAATATATAGCTTTTATTGTTGTTCCAGTTATTAATCATGACATTAAAGTTTGGCATCTCCACACAGAACGGTGAAAGAAATCGTCGACAAGCAGGAATACACCTCAGGACAGTTTAATCCAGAGAACAGAGGCCCATTTACCAGAAATAGTGAGTAAAAGGAAAAAAAAAAAAAAAACGGACCCGAGAGCCTTCAGCCATGGTGAGGCTGCCACAGCAGTGTTTTTTGAGTTATATACTAACATCAGTGTTTGCCATGTTCACCATCTTTGCTTGACACCATTTGCTAATTAGCACTCAATGCAAAAAAAGCCCCCAAAAGCAAAACAAAACAACAGCTAAAGCAATCCATGGTTGCCTTTCAACTGCAAACACAATTGTCAACAAACGTCGACCCCTGTTAATGCCCATGTGTGTCATCCAGTGGAATAATCTGTAAAATTCACAGAAATGCCATAGAAGTTATAAATGTTAGCATAATGGGTTAGGAATGGAAAAGTCAACAAGAAGCAACATACCACCGCATCACTGTTCCGGCAGAACATGAAGAGCATTCCCCCTGCACAGTCTGTGTGTGCATGATGCAAAAGAACATTTCAAATCAAATGTGTACCAGAATATGCTCCTAATGATGATCATCTGACTATTTCACTGCTAAGTTTGCAAACGTTAATCATGTAAACGCCACTTAAACTGCACCAGAACACAAATGTTACAGTAGAAGTCTCTGATTTGTGTCATGGTTTGTAGTTCACATATATTTTTGGACTTTGCATCTCCTCACCTTTTTATTTAAATCTCGACCTATTCTTTACCTTCTTTACTTTTTCAATGTTTCTGTCTCCACTGTTGCAGCGTGCATGAACGCCATTCAGAATTTGAGAGGTGGCTAAGATGAAGCTTCGCCTTAGTTCAGACAGACACGAGTCAGAGCGTCACAAGGCCCTTTTCTGTCACTCATTCACTGCTTAAGTCCAGCCTACCCACTTAGTGTGCTTTATAACTGAAGCAGCATTCATTTATTCTGCCAGCGCCGTGCTGACAACATCGCTGCTACACCCGCCTTCTGAAGAAATAATGCTTATTTAACTACAGAGGTAGAGTAGGGTTAAAGTAGTTCAGAAGGATTCATAATTGTGTCTGTGAAGATTCTCAGTCATCCAGGTCATGGTTATTCTGGTAGACTAATCAATGAATCTACCAGAAGGATTCATAATTGTGACCAGACTTTGTTTTTCTGAGTGCAGTAATGAAACGTTATTTAGTATATCTGGTAATTTACAAACAATATGCTAATTATGCCGGAATCCTGTATAGAAATGAAATGCATTTAAATTTGGAAGTGTTTTCATTGCGTTTATATCACGTAAGCAGTCTTCATACAGTTTGTTTGATGAGCTGTCTGTTTTCAATATTCCTTCCAAATTCAATCTTCTAATTGTCACATTTTTAATATGACAGTCAGTCCCATTCATCTTTTATATTCCTTTAAAGTATTGTTTATTTATTTCTTTTCATTTTATTTGTGTGTTTTTTTCTCTTTTTAAAACATGTTTTCCTGTTTAAAAAAATCCTCCCAAACACAAATATAATACTAACACTACTTCATTATGCCGATTGACATTCCAGTGTGCTCAAAAACTATACACAAGGTCTACTGGGGAGGGGGGGAGTTGGGTAAATATACATATAAAAAAAAAATGCAAATACCATTACTATACCTGCATTCCAGATGTCTCCAAAATGGCAAAAAACAAAAAGGTGGGAGGGTGTTTTCTGCCACCAAGAGAACATTTTGATACATGTGTACATCAAAACCACTTCACTGACTATCTTAACAATTTCAAATGAATTTGTCCTTCACAGTGCAACACTTCATGCAACACAAAACACGGCATCTCCTTTCTTCCCTGGGCTTCTTCCTGTCTTTCAGAAGTTTTTGAAAAGAGAAAATTCTCTTTTATTACAAGGCAAACAGTTGTTGGTGTCCTTTATCAAACAGCTCTTTGGAGAGGAATGGAGAGAGAGAGCTATGCAGACATTTAACCTTTTTATATAGTCTTACAATTGGGGCTCTCAAGGCCTTTCATTTGTGAAGTTCCTGTGGAAAAATCAGGGAGCTTGGACTCATTTCACTACCGGTACAGTATAT